TCCCTCCCTCCCTTCCTTCCTTCCTTCCTCCCTCCCTCCCTCCCTCCCTCCCTCTTTCCCTCCCCATATTTTTACCTGGAAGATTGCTACAATGATAACACTAATTCATTTCATCATGAGACTTTTAAGGAAGAATAAATTTAGAGATAGTGAGGGATTTGAGTAGAGTTTGAATTAAGGATCTTTATAAGATCTCTCCATCTTTATGTAAGTTCCTCAACTGCACCAACATTGCTTTATGATGAAATAAGGGCAATTAAGGTAAGCCAAAAAAGCAGATTGATCTTTATTTACTGTTATAATCAGTTGAACATCTCCCTCATTTATCCTAACCACCAAGAGTGCTTTGGCTGAAAGATGATGAACAATATAACAATAGTTTTATTTCAAGAAATATTGATCAAAGTTATGTTTTTGTCAAGGGCGGCATTAACTGGATGAAATATTCTTTGTGGCTTACCTCTGTGTTGGTTTCAATTTTCAAAGCAAATGTATAAGCCTGTATATGTCACAATATTTTCAGCAAATTGGATCTTAGAGAAACTTGTTTCCAGTTCTTATATCACTGTCTTATTAGCGAGTTCATTTCCTTATCTGCTGATGAATTAACTAAAGCTTTACTTGATTAATCAGGGGGCCACTGTTAATAGGTAGAGCAAGGAGTGTGTTAAATGTTTAACAATTAGTTCTGCTTACTTCCATTGCTACCTGTATACTGTGTCACTAGCTGCCAAACCCAGTTGATCAGCGCGCTAAGCACTATGGTTCAGTTCTCAACCAGTTCTCAAAATTTCAGAAAAATCTAATAATTGACCTCATAAACTGGTATGAGCCTGCTCAAGCACACCACTAAGTAGGCCTATACATTTTTTAAAAGCTCTTTTTACTTTTCTGAACTGTTGAAATACAAAATGCAAAAAGAAAATGACTAACAAAATTACCAATGTTTGTCCTGAGAAGCATTTTTTTCATCATCACCATTACAATAATAATAATTGTCTGCTGCTTCCTTAAATATTTGAAGAATACATCTGTCTGTATGGTTTTGGGGTTTTTTTGTTGCAAAATTACACTTCCCTTTGAACCAGTTCTATCAGTCTAAGTGTTGCTCATAAGTAAGACTAATTCATAGCTTACAACTATGTTTCAGTTTCAACACCAAAATATATAGGAAGCTCTATCCAGTCTGGATGAACCTGGTTCTGTGCTTTTAATACCAGCTCCAGACAACACGCTGTTCAGATTGACATGAAATGTTTTATGTTTTTAATGAAAAAAANAGCTGGTGAGATTTGAACAGCCGAACTGCAGAACTGCAGTCAGCTGAAGTAGCCTGCAGTGCTGCATTTAACCACTGTGCCACCTCGGCTCCTAATGATGGAAAGAATAAATATTGTTGGATTTGTAATGAGCAGTAATGAGAAAGGGTGTGGGATTATTTTCATACTGAAAGCAGCCCATTTTGCGCATAATGATAATACCCCATTCGCCTAATGACTCTTGTAATATAGCCTTATGATGCTGGAGAAATCTGAATCTCTCTAAATCAGGAATGTAGATAAGCAAGGTTGCCCTTCCCCCTTGGCACAGATGATCCCCAGAAGCTTAAGTCCCTTCCGTTTGCGGATGTACCTTCCTCTCTCGGGGACTGCAGCAACAATGAGTTGAAAAGCTATCACCGTTTGCATTTCACAAATACAAGTTCCCCAGTGACTGAGTTCAGACATCGTTCTAGGCTACAATTTGCTGAACCACAATTTTCTTTCATAGCCACTCTTGGCTGAGCTCCCTCTTCATGCTAAGCCACAAATCATAATTCACAAATTATATTAGCTGCATTGAAACAATATGCAGCACAAAACACACACATACCATTGTTTGGCTTACCACAGTCCTGTGACTCTCATCCCACCCACATGTACAGATTCAGTTCTCAGTAAGCCATCCGTGCCTGCTGCTGTAAACCAGGGAATGAAGCACCCAATGGCTCTCTTTCTGCTTGAGTCCTAAAATGACATGATTAAACTAAGATTTCTGAGGTTCTGGCTTGTTGATAACATTCAAGGAAGTTGATGCTACTAGACCTTTGAATCATACTCTATGGAACCTGCAGATAGGTTGAATGAAAGGTTGTGGGAAATGAGAATGTCTAGTCTAACGGAGAAAAGGACGAGGAGTGACATGATGATAGTAGTCTTCCAATATTAGAGAAGTTGTCTCAGAAAGGAAGGGGGTCAACCTATTCTCCAAAACAGATGAGGGCAAGATAAGAGGTAATTGATAGAAGCTTAACAAAGACAGATCCAACTTAGAATTAAGGAGAAATTTCCTGTCAGTTAAGACAATCAGTGAAATAGTTGTCCTCTGGAAGTTGTGAGTGCTCCATCACCGGAAATTTTTAAGAAGAGATTGGACAGCGATTTGCCTGGAATAATATAGGGTCTCCTGCTTGAGCAGAAGGTTGGACTAGAAGACCTCCAAGATCACTTTCAATTCTGTTATTCTGTACTCTGCAACATCTGTGTTGGTTGACAGTATGCTTCTGGTTACAGTACAGTATGCTGATGGTTAGCAATCAATATGACTTGAGGCTCCAAATAGCTTGGGGATCAACTATGATACTCTTCTGCCACTCCCTAA